AAGGAAGGAAGGAAGGAAGGAAGGAAGGAAGGAAGGAAGGAAGGAAGGGAAGGAAGGAAAGAAGGAAGGAAGGAAGGAAGGAAGGAAGGAAGGAAGGAAGGAAGGAAGGAAGAAAAGTAAAATATGATGACACATCAAATAACCTGAAGTTGGTGTTTTCCGCAGTGAATACACAAAGTTACCTCTTCTTCAGAGAGTCTCCCCCAACCATCCAAATCAAAAAAGGAAATCATCATTCACCACACCCAATATGTTCCCAAAATGTGAAATAGAATATGTAAAAACACGGTGGCCATTGGGTTCTTTCTGTTAATTATATGAAGACTCTCAACACCATTTTACCCCTGGGAAACAGTCCAGTGGGGACAGAGTCCTTGGCCCACTGGAATGGGGGTATGCTCACGCCCCTCTCCCGCTTGTGAACTGTCCTTTCTAAACTTCAATCCCCTGACCAGGGCTCTCGCCTCGCACTGTGCTGACCTCTTTCTGTATGTGTCCCGCCTTTAGTCTATCCAGTCTACCCTCTGCAACTCTTTCTTCTGCCTAAAATACTCTTCCCCATCCCGTTTGTGTGGATAACTGCCTACATCTCCCTTAGCTCTGAACTTGGATGTCATTCCCTCTGGGAAATCTCCAACCTCTCCGACCGGACCAGATGCCCTGCTATGCACTCCTGTGCCTCTCCCATCAGAGCACTGCCCGTTTAGTGGCCTGTCTCTGCCCCACGAGATCAGTGGGTTCCCAAAGGCAGGTCCTCAGTCTGCCTTGCTCAGCATCATAAACCCAAGAGCTGCAAGTATCTGTTGAGAAAACTGCTAAAGCCTTTTCTTTATACAATGGTTTAAATTACAAATGAACTTAAAGTTTTAAAAAACCAGCAGGCAGAGAGTAAGGGCAAGCTTCCTGTTGGCAAGTGCTTCCTGGGACTTTGCCTTACTGTCCCTGGGATGCTCATTTTAAGAGGCCTTCACTGACATCTCTCTGGATGCTAGTACTAAAAGCTTTAATCCTGGGACTCAGCAGCAGAAGCTTTGCCCAGGCACCTCCTGGTAACTTATTTCATTAAATATGGTCCACAAGGTCGCCTCTGTCTTTTCCTTTCAGGTTTTATAAACACCCTGTGAAAGAACCTTCCTAATGTGCATTTTCCTTCTGGGAGTGGCAGTAGGATGTTGGATGCAGGGTCGGGTCAGCTGGGTTCTGGCCCTGGCTTAGGCATCAGTTATTTGGGTCTTTATGGGCAAAAGTGCTTTACGTCCTAGGGCTTTAGTTTCCTCATCCATAAACTGAGGTCCCTTTCCAGTATGGTCTTGCTATGGCAAGCAGGTGCTATCAGGAGAGAATATATAGGCTTTAAAGCCAGAAAGATATGGGGGCACCTGGGTGGCTCAACTGATTAAGCCCCCGACTTTGGTTCACCTCATGATCTCATGATTCGTGAGTTTGAGCCCCACATGGGGCTCTGAGCTGACAGTGCAGAGCCTTCTTGGGATTCTCTCTCTCTCCCTCTCTCTCTCTGCCCTTCCGCCACATATGCACCTATGCTCGCCCACTCACGCACTCTCTCTCTCTCTCAAAAGAATAAATAAATAAACTTAAAAAAATAAAGCCTGGCTCTACCAAACTGTCACTTAGTTACTGTGGCTGAAGACTAATTAATTACTTGCATTCTCTGTGGCTTCAGTTTCCTCATCTGCAAATATGAGTAATAATAACAGCCGTCCATCTCTCTTATCACGTTAACCTGCATTTTTTTCCGCAGCATCTGTTATTAACAGAGGTTTTGTTTACCTGACCAATAAGTAAGCTCCAAGAGAGCGGCACTGAGCCCTGCCGGGTAGTTACTGAGCCCACAGCCATTAGAAGTGCTGGAAATACAATAGGTGCCCATAAGCTATTCCTTGAATGCACTTGTATATTAGCCACATGTAGATTAAGTACCTAGAAGCCATCCTGGCACAGGGAGAACCTCTCAATAAATGAGAATTCTTTTTTGTTAGTCTATGGGTATAAATATTTGGGCTCCAGCCTCCAAAACTTTCAGTAAATGATGGAATTGGTGTTGCAATCGAAAACGCTCGGTATTTAAAACAATCCAAAGCCATAATGAGAAAGACAATTCTCATAAAGTTACTCACACCTTTTATAAACAAGTTTTAGTTCCTTCCAGTCAACAAAACTGCTTGTCCTCTGACCACGAGAGAGAACAATCTGGACAATTTCCCGGGTGATCTTTTTCCTCTCTTTGTCAGGGAGAGTCGTGTACCATTTCTGCAGCCGTAATTTCCCCTGTCGACTGAAAAGCAATATGAAATGTATCTAGAACAAATAAAGCACAGAGAAAAACAGAGCTTTATCAGCTACGTCATTCTACATAGACACTGGAAATTAAATGGCAGGGCTTACAAAGGATGCTAGTTATGAACAAATGAAAAAATTCTCACCAGAGTGAAAACGATCTCATCTGCAAATTACATTTAACCCATTAAAGAATAAAGAAATGGGGACATTACAAACATGCCTTATTTATATTCGTGGGGAAAGATAGGATTTGTAAAAAGTACTCCCTTCTGGAGTCACACATTTATTACATGGAGAAAAAGATACTGAGGAAGCATGTAACTCTTTTGAGAAAACAACAAAATCTTCCTTCCCAAGCCAAAAATAAAGTGTTAAAAAATGGCAGAAGAGTTTGCTCTAAAAATTACACCCCGGTTGCCTATCACAACTACAGCAATGTAATGATAGTAGAGAAAAAAAAAAAGGGGAGAGAAGGGAAGGAGGATAAAGAGTGAGAAAGAAAGAAAGGGACAACATTGTCTTTTTTTTTTTTTAATAAAAACTATATACATTTAAGGTGTACAACATGATTTTATATCCATGTCTATAGTGAAGTGATTACTATAGTCCAGCTAATCAACATTTCACCTCCTCACATGGTTACCATTTTGTGTGTATGATGACAGACCCTGAAATCTACTCCCTTAGCAAACTCCCAGTATTCAGTCCAGCGTTATTAACTATCGTCGTCATCCTGAAGAGCAGATCTCTAGACTTGCTCATCTTACAGCTGCAACTTTTTACTCTTCAACCAACATCTCATTTCCTCCATTTCCCCACCCCTGGTGACCACTGTTCTAGTCTATATGCCTCTATGAGTTTAACTTTTTAGATTCCACATGTAAGTGAGATCATGCAGTATTTCTATTTCTATGACTGGCTTATTTCATTGAGCAAGGTTCATCCAAGATATCACAAATGACGGGATTTCTTTCTTTTTTTATAACTGAAAATATTCTATTATTACCCACCCTCCCACACAAACACACATAAACACACACATATATACCACATTTTCTTTATCCATTCGTCTATCAATGGACACTTAGGTTGCGTCCATATCTTGGTTGTTGCGAATAATGTTGCAATGAACTTGGACTGCAGGTATCCCTTTAAGATACTGACTTAATTTCCTTTGGAAATATACCCAGAAGTGAGATTGCTGGATCATATAGTAGTTCTATTTTTAATTCTTTGAAGAACCTCCATACTGTTTTCCATAATGGCTACACCAGTTTGCATTCCCACCAACAGTGTACAAGGGTTCCCTTTTCTCCACATTTTCACCAACACTGTTATCTTTTGTTTTCTTGAGAACAGTCATTCTAATCAGTGTGGGGTGATCTCCTCTCGTGGTTTTGCTTTGTATTTCCCTGATGATTAATGATGTTGAGCATCTTTTCATATACCTGTTAGCCATCTGTGTATCTTCTTTGAAAAGTATCTGTTCAAGTCCTTTGCCCATTTTTAAATCAGGATATTTATTTTCTTGCTATTGACTTCAGTTTCTTATATTTTTTGGATATTAACCTCTTAACAGATATATGGTTTCCAAATATTTTCTTCCAGTCCTCGGCTGTCTCTTCACTCTGTTGATTGTTTGCTTTGCAGTGAAAAAGCTATTTAGTTTAATGTAACCTCATTTGTCTGTTTTTGCTTTTGTTGCCCTTGCTTTCGGGGCAATATCCAAAATATCACTGCTCAGACCAATGTCATGAAGCTTTCTCTCTATGCTTTCTTCTAGTAGTTTTACAGTTTTAGATCTTAACATTTAAGTCTTCATCCATTTTGAGTTGATTTTTTTATATTAAATATAATTTATCGTCAAATTGTTTTCCATACAACATGAGTTGATTTTTTAAAATGGAGTGAGATAAGGTCCAATTTCATTCTTTTCCACATGGGTAACCAGTTTTCCGAGCACCACTTAATCGAGAGATTGTCCTTTTCCCATTGTGTGTTCTTGGCACCTTTGTTGAAGATCAAACTAAGTTTGTTTGGTTTTTTTAAGCTTATTTATTTATTTTGAGAGACATAGAGAGTGTGAGTGGCAGAGGGGTAGAGAGAGAGATAGAGAGAGAGAATCCCAAGCAGGCTCCACATTGTCATTGCAGAACCCAACAGGGGGCTCAATCCCATGAACCAAGAGATCATGACCTGAGCCAAAATCAAGAGTCAGATGCTCAACCAACTGAGCCACCCAAGTGCCCCTCAAACTAAGTCTTACATATAAGCTCTTTACTCCACTTTGTGGGTAACTTGGCTGAGAGCTTTAGAATCAACCATCTCATGTAAATATTGTCACCACAATAGACTGTTAACAGTTTAGTGTGTTGGCCACGTTAGGAAGCAACCCAATCTTGATTTTCAGTGAAGTTTCAAAGTCTGCATTTTAAATAAATGCCCACATTTCAATGAATTTTAAAAGTTCTAAATAACTAGAAAACACCATAACGTGTAGAAATTTACTTTGCTACCTTGGAGGTATAGTCACTATGCTTCTGGAAATTGTCACATGGTATATAATCTTTATCTGATGGGAGATGATGTTTTCTCCATGTACTGTATGAGAAGAAGTTTAGAATCATAATTTATCATGTTTTTTGCTTTATCCTTTTTTGATAAAATTCATTGTGGAGGTTAATTGTGTCAGGGAGGGAAGAACAATATATACGAGAAACCAAAATTCTTATAATTTTAAAGAATTTTTATAAATAAAATATTCACTTTCTTTTATTGAAGGGGTTTGGCTCTGAATGTCAGGGCATAAGTCATAAAAACTCACTAGGTGGTGATATCTGAGGACCAAAAGAAACCAGGCTCTTTCCCCAGAGCTCCTCCTGCCCCCAGCCTATAGAATTTGAGGTCTTCTTAATAAGGTTATATTCTGTCTTACAAAGAAAACGTCTCTGAAAACAAGGACTTGAGGGCCACGACATCACAAGTGAGGAGAAAGCAAATGTAAAAGCCCTCCTCATCTAGCAACTTTAAGAAAAATCATCCTCAGGATGTTGGGTGGGAGGATGGGCTAAATGGGCGATGTACATTAAGAAGGGCACTTGTTGGGATGAGCACTGAGTGTTATACGTAAGTGACGTGTCACTAAATTCTATTCCTGAAATCATTATTACACTATATGTTAACTAACTTGGATTTGAATTAAAAAAAAAAAAAGTCATCCTCAGTCTGGAGTTTTAAATATCTGTTGAGAACACAGCCTTTTCTTTTTTTTTTAATTTTTTTTAATGTTTATTTATTTTTGAGACAGAGAGAGACAGAGCATGAATGGGGGAGGGTCAGAGAGAGAGAGGGAGACACAGAATCTGAAGCAGGCTCCAGGCTCTGAGCTGTCAGCACGGAGCCCGACACAGGGCTCGAACTCACGGACCGCGAGATCATGACCTGAGCGGAAGTCAGACGCTCAACCGACTGAGCCACCCAGGCGCCCCGAACACAGCTTTTTCTATCAACACAGGTATAAATAACTCCATAATGGAACACCGTTACCGTTTTCTAAGAATTAACCTGAGAAAGATATTTTTACTTCCAAGAAGAGATCATAGTAAAAGTGACATTCTAAAAGGGCAAAGTTGAATGGTGACAGAATCATAAAACCTCAGCATCTTGAGAACAAGACTCAGCTGTGGGTCACCACCAATGGAAAAATCTATTCAATCCAATGTCTAGAAAATGGTCAGACCTTCACTAGAGAAATGAAATCCACACATTTTGTTAGTGTTCACTTTGCATTTCCCGTCATAAAATTCTTTTCCTCCCATCTGTTACCATTTACACCAATTTTCCCTGATTTTTATCCAGAGAATATATTAAAACACAATATCACGCTATCCCAGGAGTAATAGCTAACCCTTCACATATTTGAAGATGCCTTTTGGTCTACCATAAATCTTTTTCCTTCCAGAAGAAATAAGTCTCGTTTCATGTTGTCTTCATATTGGAGATCTCGAAATCACTTGCAGATTGGAGATCTCGAAACATTTGCAGATCTCAAAATCACTCTTGTGATTCCTCCAAGATTTCTCCATAGGCTAAATGTTACTTTTAACTGGGGGCGCTCAGATCTATGTCCAAAGTTCCAGTGAGAGGCTGGAACTAGGTCTGAGTTTAATTGTGGATTCCATTCTAGTTCTTCTACGTTGCAACATGCTCTAAAGATTAGGTGCCTGCCTTTGTTTTATCTTTGAGAGAGGAAGAGAGAGAGAGACAGAGAGAGAGAGAGAGAGAGAATATGAGCGGAGGAGGGGCAAAGGGAGAGAGAAAAAGAGAGAATCTCAAACAGGCTCCAGGCCCAGCAGAGCCCAACTCAGGGCTCGATCTCATGACTATGAGATCATGACCTGAGCTGAAATCAAGAGTCAGATGCAGGGCGCCTAGGTAGCTCAGTCTGTTGAGCATCCAACTTTGGCTCAGATCATAATCCCACAGTTTGTGAGTTCAAACCCCATGATGGGCTCTGTGCTGACAGCTCAGAGTCCGGAACCTGCTTCGGATTCTGGATGCCGTGTCTCCCTCTCTCTCTGTCCCTCCCCCGCTCACACTCCGTCTCTTTCTCCTTCAAAAATAAATAAACATTAAATAACTTGAGCCGGATGCCACCCAGGAGCCCCTGCCGGCCTTCTTAAACATGGATCACCGAGGTAGGACAATGAACAAAGAGCAACTCCTTACTCTAACCATGAGTTCAAAGAGAAGGATGATTAGGAACGTGATACACACATCTATAAAGCCGGTATAAAATACAGAAATGCGTTCCAAATTCAAAGGAAGCAACAAATTGATTCAAGTTTATCCCATAATTGCACTGCATAAGGCAGTGTTGAGAGATTTAGTCCTCTCAAGTTCTGCTCTGAAACGAAACATGGCTTGTGTTGCGGTGTCTGGTGTCTATCACCCCAGAGTTAATGGTCTCGCTTGAGAGAACCGGCAGAATGAGCTGTCTGAACTGTGGTGACGCACAA